GTTATTCCTAGTCACTCCTGGTAGTGCTCAGGGGAACAGGGACTCCCCCAATGCCTGCTGGTCCCCTCTGACTAGTTTGTAACAGGCCACTAGATGCCCCCTCAGCCTTCTCTTGTGGAGGCTGAACAGGTTCAGGTCCCGTAGCTTCTCCTCATAGGGCCTGCCCTGCTGCCCCCTGATCATGCGCGTGGCCCTCCTCTGGACCCTCTCCATGTTGTCCACATCCCTCTTGAAGTGTGGCGCCCAGAACTGGACGCAGTACTCCAGCTGCGGCCTGACCAGTGCTGCATAGAGGGGGAGGATCACCTCCTTGGACCTGCTTGAGGTGCACCTGTGGATGCATGACAAGGTGCGGTTGGCCTTCCTGACTGCATCCCTACTCTTAACATTGAGTGTAATATGTTCTCGTCAGTGTAAAAAATACTCCACTGTTTTAACAAAATATTAAGTAGTTATGGTAAACTGAGTAGCTGAAAGAAAGCTGAAGAAAAACTTCCTCATGTGATGGGGTAGACAAAAACAACTAACTTTTTTATGAATTCATTCTCTTCACAGTTATCCCTATATTCCAATTCTCCCTGCACAGCTGCTGGAAGTTCTCAGTTCACCAACTCCTTTTATTATTGGTGTACATTCTGTCTTTCGTAATGACATCCATGAACTTGTAAGTATACCTACTGAGAATATTGTCAGTGTTATAGCATTTGTGATACTTGGAAGTAGGAATTCTTTTTGTGCTTCCAGCTTTACTATTTTAAACTATTATTTCCATAAAAAAGTATCAGCAGATAAAGTTGGATGATAATTGATATAAAAAGGAGAGGAGAGAAGGATAAAAGAAAGAAAAGGATTGACTTCATTGTCCATTTTTTTTTTTACAAAGGCCCAGATAGCTAAGCTGTCAGTGGGAAATAAATCGGGAGAGAGAGAAATTTGAAACCATGATTGTAGGATGTGAAGTTCACAAAACAGGGATCTAATTCCAGTTCTTCACACTTCTTTTGTGACTTTGGACAAATCACCTAGGTTACGGTCAAATATGCATTTGTAGTGGCTTCAAAAAGGATGGGAGGTTAGTGTTTAGGAGCACGTAGTAGCTTTTATGATGTAGTTGGTAGGTGTGCATGAGCCTGTAGTAGTGTGAGCGAGCTAAATTTGTCTTTGAATGAAGCAGGGTTGAAGATGCAGTCGTTTTGCTGCACTTGTATTACTGCAGGTTTGCAGGTTTATGCACACCTAGGATAGCATTCTGCGTAGGTGTCTTTTCTGAACATCTATAGAACTACATTTGGGTATTGCAGGTTTGTATTCTGTTTCTGTGCATGTACGTTCCAAGTAGCAGTTGTCTTTGCTTCAGGAGCAAGTGTACATTTGTCCTTACCATTAGATCAGCATTTTCTAAGCAGTCCTTGATTTGGAGTGCCTCAGTTTTTAAGCACTCCTCTGGAGAGACTAGACTTGATTTTCAGAGGGACTAAGTATCTGAAGATTATGCAGACTTTATTAAAATTAAGTTTATTTGGCATTTCTGGAAATCAGATGTTAGCTATACCAAACTGAGTACAAGTACTCCTCAATTAACGTTGTCCTGGTTAACATTGTTTTGTTATTACGTCATCAATCTATGAGAAAACATACTTGTTTAAAGTCATGCAGTGTTCAGTTATAACATTGTTTGGCCACCGCCTGCTAGTAGGTAACTACTGTGACCTAATTGGATTCACTTAACATCATTTCACTTAAAATGGCATTTTTCAAGAATATAGCTACGCCATTAAGCAAGGAGTAGCTGTACTTAAAAACTTAGACTTCTTTCTGTTTCACAAAGTGTTTCATGGTTAGATTCATTAATATTATTAAAGTGTTCAATATTTTTAAATTCAAAGTAATATTATTTCAGCTCATTAAGTTGAGCTATATGGGACATGTGAAATATAATCTATTATTTTAACTGTTTGTGGTATATACTATATATGAGCCCTTTATTTGTTTCTTACAGTTAGATGTAATCATAGCAGACCTGGATGGAGGCACGATTAAAATTCCTGAATGTATTCATCTTTCTCAGCTCCCAGAACCACTGCTGCATCAAACTCAAACAGCTCTTTCTCTAGTAAGTCACATTTCCTAATATAATTTTCCAGTTTGTAAACAGAAGAAATATAACATTCAATCATGAGTACATTAAAAAAATACTAATGCAGCTTTAAAAATAATTGATTGCTAAATGCATTCTGTCTGAGTACCATAAATACATGGAATTCTAAAGAAAATATTCTACATATGTCCTAGAAGCCTGTCATTCTGCTCTTTGGCAAACAAATCTACCTTGATGTTCTTAAGATCAACTTTATTGAAGCTAGTGAATTTATTTCAATGCTGTTTGACCCATCCTATTCAGTTTATGAAGTCTTTCCTCCTAAAAGCTGCTCCTTGCTAAATTTAATGAGAGTTTTGCAGAATCAGGCCTGAAGTGGGCCTTGCTGCAATTTTCTATGCTCCTTCTAGAATCTGAAAACTTTCAATTTTATATGCTTAATACTGCACATATTACTCTACTAAGAAAATTCTTCTTAAAAGAACTCTTATTTTAATTTGTAATTAATACTTCAGACTATTACATTCATTTATAGCTTATGACAACTAACTTATAGTTTCAAAATCCAAGGGAAGAAAATTACTTTTTCCTTCCTAATAATGTGATTCATATGACAAATCAACCTTACTGTTCTAACAATTGTTACTGGTATTCAGCTGCTTTTACTATTCTTTTCCTTGGTTTCTTTATAATTGGGTGCAGAGTTCCAAGAAATCCACTTAGATTTTAAATTACTAGAATGCGTGGTTCAAGAATTGTTATGGAAGAACTGACCTGTTGCAGTAAATATTGTTTTATGCTTGATTATCATTGCACACTGAGGAATCACCACAACAGTGGTTTAGTTTCCTGTTATTGAAAGTAAATTGTCTTTTTCCAGCATTCTCAAAAACTGAAAAGCACTTGTTTCAATATTAAACATAGCTGGTCTAACCAATGGGAACAATCCCAAACAGGGACTGATTTACCACCAAAGTTTTTATAGCAGTGGTGATGTACTTTGGTTTCCTGCTGTCATCCTCCTCTCTTTCCTTTTCCCTTTTATGGGTTTACCACAATGGAGGTCATCAATGGTCATTTCACATGTATATCTTCCTGTGGTTCAAGCAAAAGCTCTAACCTCAAGAAGTTGAAAAAAAGACAGTGGGATGCAACACTGATATTAAGAATGTGCATTCATATTTTATGCACTGTCCCAACATTAGAACTTGAAATATGGAGGCTCTAGGACTTAAAAAAATAAAATAGCTTAGTTATTACTTAAACAAAATAATCATAACAGGACAACATTTTCAAGTGCCCAGTCTTAGTACATGCCTCAGTGTTGGAATCCCAATATAAAACACGTTAAAGGTGTTTTATTTTTAGTGGATGCTCAGGAATTTATGTAGAATTAGATCTCTTAAGCTAAGATGGAAACCCAAAATAACTAGCCATGTTTGAAACCATTGGTTATAATTTCAGTAGAGAGGGAGCATTTTTACTGGGCATAATATATCTGAGATAACTTAATTGTCTTTCCCCGACTTTGTCACTTAACTTGGATGAGTATCTTAACTGCAGTGAATCCACGCACAAAAGTAAAATAGAGATATTACTTCTGTTCACCCAGGCTTTCTGAAGATTGTTAATGCTTACTAAATATATTGAGATAGTTGGGCAAAAGATGTTATAGAACTTCAAATTAATACTTAGAAGTATTTATTAACTCGTAACTTTACAAATCAGACTGGCAAATGTAATCCATTTTCCAGGTGTAAAGTTAAACATATTAACATTCGGTTCTGTTAGTTCATATCAGTAAGTATTGCTTGTACATAATGCACAAGAAAATGCTATCTGCAAAGCAACAGCAACTTCAGGGTTAACCTTTAAAAAAACAATAAAAATCTAACACATACCCCAAACATCCTACCCTCAAGATTTTCCATTCATGTTTTAGAACTTTCTTTTAACATTCCATCTCAGTTATTGCAAGTCAACTAGCTATAAATCTCTACAAAACTGAGTTTGTTAAGAAAAATGGATAGAAATGATAATGACATAAATTAATGTATTCATTTAACACCATTGTTTGAGACATTTCAGATAGATACGGGGGCTTTCCACACCTACTAAAGTCTATTGCATATAATATCTATTCCATCTATTGCCCAAAGATGCTTAATCCCTTATCTCTGCACAGCAGTTAGGACTTAATTTTGTGTTTTATTTTAAAGCATTTATAATGCAATGATTATGAATAAGAAGGAATCAGGGGTGGTGGGAGGGAACTTTTGCTTCCTGTACAAGACTACTTGAATATTTCATTCATTTAAAAATGTTCTAGGTTTTACATCCTGATTTGGAAACAGCAGATTATGCATTCCCTCCACCACGAACAGCTTTATCACATTCAAAAATGCTGGTAAAAATTCTTTATGACTATTTTTTTTACTTAATAGAACAATATTAATTCTTTAAAATAAACTTTCTTAGGAAACTATATTTCTGTGTTTTACTGTATTCTCCATTACAGTGTAGGCAGTGTCTAGGTTAAAATAGCATGACTTAATTTACAAGTGCAACATCTTTCCAATTTTTCCTGTTTCTTTGTAGTTCACCTGTAACAGTGTGGACAGAAGTAAAAACTGAAATGTTACAAATGCCTTTGAAACATTTCAGAGGACAAAAGCTCCAACTCAAAGTGCATATGCCCTTTTGAAATGTTCTAAAAGCAACAGAGATTCTGCAAAATTGTACGTCTTTAAATGAGGTACTGTTTTGGAGAGCTTTGCTTTTATTTTGTTGAATCTATACAAAGACAGTCTGCAGATACTGAGTGACAAGCCTGCAGGCTGCACAGCCTCTGGATCTCACTCCTCAGTCCTGGCTGCTTCCTCATTGGGGCCTCCCCTCACTGGCATTGCTTAGCTTTTCACTCTCAGTCCCTTCTGCCTCTTTCCTCCAGAGAGAGGGAGATTGCTGAGGTAGAGTGAATTGAGGCTAGAGGTGGTAGGGCTAGGGAGCTCACAGACACATTCAGGGTCCTCAGCCCAGTCCCTTCTACCTGTCCACTGTCTGAGTGGGAAGGAGGAGAGAGAGGGGATTGGGGCTGGTGAGTCAAAATGTGGGTGGTGGGGAGCCCTTCTCCCACCTCTCTGGAAGACATCCTCTGCCTTCTTTAGTGCCCCTGGCTGAAAAGCTATGGTAACATGCATCTGTGTCTGTTTTGGGTGGAGCCACAGAGGCCATACATATGCGTCTGGCTGAAACCCTTCTTTTTAGATGCGTTTCCAGGTGCATTTCACTTGGAAGCATTAAAAAAATTACTTCTGTCTGGATCCTATGAGGTTTATTTTTCATCCCTGAAGACTAGAAGTAAACCCCTGGTTTTGTTGAAATCAATGCTGGAATTCACATTGACATAATTAGAGCCAGTATGTCATCATGGGTGGGTGACATAGTTGTAAATTGGCATGGTTCATATCGCAATATTAATCCCTATAATTTTGTATAATTTCTTTTTAATATAAAAAACACTGATTCTGTTTGTTTGTCATCGATTTTTGGTACAAGTTACTGGAAGTTACTCGCAGGTGAGTGTTGTCTTACGCCTAAAATAAGCTTTTATTTGCCAATAAGGCTAGCTTTTATTGAATCCTAAATTTAATTTATAAATGGAGAGAATACCACCAAATATACTTGCAGTGAAGTCCAGCACAGGCATCTAAAAATTGATAGAATTTTATATTTAAGTACAAAAATCTACTTCCAAGACAATCTATTGCAAGCTTTAGCTGTTTGTATCAGATTAACTTTGCTCTAGAAGTGTTTAGTGCCTTTATTTTTCAAGTGAAAGGTCATATTTTAAAAATGCATTTGAATAAGACATAAAATTGGAGTCCTAAAACAACTCGCAGTTTGGATGCCAGAAGAACTGATTGGCTAAGAGTCTATTTAGGTGGCAAAGTGAAATATAGTAGTATAAAATGATGAAGTGATCGGAAGCAGATGTGATTCTTATACCAAATGACAAATTAACTCTATAGAAGTGTGTATCTGTATGTAAAATAAAAATATAAGAAAGTCTCTGTTTGCTATATAAGCTACATTATATTGTTTGAACATTTTTGCTGTATTTGAAGAATTAATAATAGTTTGTAACGTTGTGTGATAATAGGGCTGAGGAAGAAGAATTATAGATAAAATATTGTTTCCAAGATATTCCATTTTCATTGTCAGGATAAAGAAGTGCGAGCAATTTTCTTGAGATTCTTTGCACAACTCTTCCAAGGATACAGGTCATGCCTTCAGCTGATCAGAATTCATGCTGAACCAGTCATTCATTTCCATAAGGTAAAAGAGAAATAAGTTTGTTTTTATGTATACAAATTTCTGTCACGTACTTACTTTTTGAAGCCATTTCAAATATGAAATCTTGGAATTTAATTTTACATTGCCATACAGTTGCTATCTTATATAAGGGTGATAATTTTGGTATTACAAATCAAGTAGTAAACATAATGTAACATAAAAAATACATGTTAATTTAAAGCAAAAACCCACAAAATATAACTTGGGCAGTAATTAATGAATTTCAAGAAATTAAACCTACAGTTAAAAGAATAGAGTTACTGTGTAATTAGAATCATAGGTGGATTCAGCATCTTGGCAAGGCGAGTAGTGCCACTGAGATCACTTGCATGTTAGTGCCACTTTTTCCAGAACTCTATATATGCTGTGTGCTCTCAGCTTACCACAGCCCTTGCTTTCACATAGCTCTGGAGCCAAGAGGTTAAGTGGTGCCACAGCTTGTCTGCCCTCCCTTGCTCTCCCCAACCCCCACTGAATTCAGTGGCAGAGAAAAAGAGAAGACAAGCAACTGTGGTGCTCATCCTCCCCTGCACCCCAGGCTTCAAAGTTGTGTGAAAGCAGAGGCTGCAGCAAGAGCTCATGCTGACCAGCGGGTGAGCTCAGAGAGCTTGGGCAAGAGTTGTACTGACATGCTGGTGAGCTCAGAGAACTCAGTGAGCATGCACCATACAGCCATTATGGAGTACAATGAGAATTAGTTTGAGTGCCCTAGGAATGCCCCACTTTTTTCCTACTCAGACAGACCTGTCCCCTGAGATTGTGGGGGATGAGTCTAGATGAGTGGGGAAAGTGAGGATGTCACATTGCCCCTTGTCCCACAACGTGTTTTTCAGCCAGTGAAACAGATCGGCTGCTGCTTCAACACATCCCAGCACAGTTGATATGCTTCAGACAGTGATATCTATTTCTAGCCTAAGGAAGCCACTCTGCTCTATTTTCTGACTGACTTGAGAAGAAGAAGAGGGCTAACCAGCTCTCAATTACAATACACTTGATTTAGTTTAAAAGATATGTAATTCACATCCAGTATTTTTACAAGTACTTTGCACTTGTAATAAGCAGAAGAAAATGTTTTGCCTATGAAGGATCCAAGAGTTGAAATAAGAGTGTTTGTTTTGACAAGGTTTGATAACTGTAAAGTGGTAAATTCCTGTCTACTGTCACTGCAGGCAGCCTTCTTAGGCCAGCGAGGCTTGATTGAGAATGACTTTCTTACCAAAGTCCTCAGTGGAATGGCATTTGCTGGTTTTGTGTCAGAGAGAGGCCCTCCTTACAGATCCTGTGATCTCTTTGATGAGGTAAGCACTGTATTGTTTAAGGTATATATTATATTCAAAGACGTCAAAATTTTAGGTTGGATATTTCGGTATGTTAGAAATAAGTTATTTAAAAGCTTCTATATCATATTGTATCGTAAATAGGACTTTTGCAGATAGTTCACTAGAAAATATATAGAATATATTATCTTCTAAAGTCCTCATTCTGTAACCCACATAAATGTATATAATTTTACACACATAAAGGCACTAGGAGAGCTCACAAAGAAGGTTAAACTTGTGCAAGTCATTGTAATACTGTTTTTATAGTTAGATTTGGAACTTTATAATGGGTAATGCTCTAGTCCAGAATTATTTTGAATAATGTAAGAAAGTTTCTGGAAAGAAATATTAATTAAATGTATCGATACATTAATAAATATATGTGTGTGTGTGTGTGTGTGTGTGTGTGTGTATATATATATATATATATATATATATATATATAAAAATACGTGGAATACATGCCTGGCAAAGGAAACTGGGGCAGATATCTTCTATTATAAAAATGCAATGGGATCTTCAATTTATCTGCAGCCAGAGGCCTGTCTTCTAAAATTTTGTCTAAAAAAGAATCAAATGCAGGCACAATGAATAACTTTTTTTATTACCTGGATGTTTGAATGTTTAGTAACAAAAATGAGAAAGCTCACTATTACTTTTATATGGGAATAATGTTGTACAGAAATACTGACTAAAGTATTACAGATTAACATCTGCTTTAAGAATATAGGTTTTTTGGTACCTGGTTGGTAGGAATATGATTTTAAGGGTTCAGAGAGAAGCAAAAATTCCTGATAATTCACCTGGGAAATTCTGTACCATTTCCTAGAAGCAAGAGATCTTTCATTATCCAAAATTCTGTGTATTTTATGGCTAATATGATTGTTACATACTTTTGTATTAGCAAAGATATCTTTGTAAGCTGTTTTTTAACATCTCTAAACATGTTGTAAGTTGGTAGCTTTTGAAGTGGAACGAATTAAAGCTGATGAAGGCAATCCGCCAAAAATGCTGAAGCATATCCGAGAGCTTGCAGAACAACTGTTAAAAAATGTAAGTTTATTGTATCCCTGTATTGGCTGTAGAGTGTTTTGATAATACTGATAATACTTCACTACATTAACCTGATAACTTCATGATGCAAAACGTACATTCCAGAAGTTAGGCAGAAAACTCCTTGATGTAAGCTCACTGGGCGCAGATAGAAGTTACATTTCTCACACGATCAGGTCCCTGAAATCACTCTACAGCTGTGCTGTGACACATGCATGGCTTCAGAGTACTTTTAAAGTGGCCGATTATGCAAAAAATTAACCCTTCTCAAATGAGGTGTCAGGTGAAGGTGTTCTGTTTTACAGTGCCTTGGGGAACTTGTATTCCCTAGGGTTAATTTTTCACATATTTGGGACCGGGCTAATGCAGCCTACCCCTACTTCTGGGGCTGTCAGCAGCGCAGAAGGGAGGAGGGGAAGGAAAATGAGCAGCAGTGAGGGACCTGAACTGAGCTGTGGTAGGGAGGAGCATGGGGAAGAAACAGAGCAGCACAAGCTGCTGGCTTGCTCTGCCTGAGCTGGAGGCAGGGGGGTGGATTGGAGCCTCTCTGCCTCATGGCCTTGGCCCAGCTCCCCCCAGTACCCCAGCCAGGGTGGCTGTGGGATGGGCAGCCACAAGGTAGGGGGGCTCTGATCCACCCCCCCACCTCCAGATCAGCTTGGGCAAAAGTCCAGCTAGCAGCTCACTGCTGCTGGCTTCCCCCTTCCTCCTCCCCTCTCCCTCCCTGCTGATAGCCCTGGAGCTGGGGGGAGGGGGAGGAGAGCTAGGGAGTAGGGGTGCACAGATAAAGATATTTTTGGCCAATACCAATGGCCAATTATTAACCAGTGATATTGGCCAATACCAATCCAATAGCCGATATGCAGCCTGGCAGGTTGGGGAGAGCAGTAAGGCTAGTAAGTCTGTTGGGATGGAAAGGGCATGGGGGAGGGAAGGAGCATGGGGGTGCAGATCAAGGCCCCCATGGTGAGGACTAAGCCATGGGAAGAGATAAGTGCAGGCAGGAGTGGCTCCCACTGCTGTGCATGCCCCCAGGGGAGGCATGGGGGGGACATGCCCCCCAGATTTGTGCACGGGGTGAGGTTGGGATACCCACTGTGGGTCTGGGGCCAAGGGCTGCTTCAGCTTCTTCCTGGCAGGGAGGCTGGGCTAATGCTGTGGAGGTGGGGCAGGTGCAGGTGGGGCAGGTGGCAGCGGCACTGGAAGTGGGGGGCTATGGGGTGGGCCATAGCCATCCCAAAATTCACCTTAGGTCCCCCTCCCAGTGCTACCCCCACTTGCCCCGCCCCTGCCTCCCAAGCACAGCCCTGGTCCAGCCCCCCCACCAGGAGGAAGCCAGCACAGCCCCCAGCCCTGAGCCCGCAGTGGGCAGCCCACTTTTGCCCTGCACACAACTCTAGGGGGTACATGCCTCCCCGGGGGGTGCATGTAGCAACAGGGGCCCGCCCTTCTTGTGCCTCCCAAACATGCATCTCACAGCTCCGTCCTGCACCCTGCCTCTGCCCCATTCCCTCCTCACTGTAGGACCCTCGATCTGCCCCTTCTCCCCCCTCAACTTACGGGCCTGCTGCTGCTCTCCAAGCTGCCAGGCTGCATTCCTGCCCACATGCATGCTGTGGCTGCACACATGTATGGGGCATTTATCAGTGTCATTATCAGCCACACTGGCCAATAAAAGCTGATTTCCGATAATGTCAGTTTTCCTTTTATCAGTGCCAGTATGATATGGACCAATATATTGGTGCATCTCTACTACGAACAGGGGCGGTTCCTTGGTTGGGAAGTAGAGTGGCTCCTCAGCTTGCTGCTAACCTGCAGGCAGGCTCTATTTCCTCCTCTCCTGCCCCTCACCAGACAGGTGAACATCTGTTGGGTTGAGGGGGTGCTCCCACTCATGGGACTTTATTTGTCAGCACCCACTAAATGCAGAATTTTATTTTCCTTTCTTCATCTAAAGGCTGTTTTTTTAGGCACCTAGCTGGTTTGGGCCCTTCCTTTGCACTGTTGACATCTGAGCAAGCATAGTAGGCTGTGTGTTGCCTGTGCACATACGTGAGTATAAATCTGGGAAACAGAAGCAGAAGACAAGGAGGACAATAGCCTTCCCATAGTTTAGTGCCAATAACTGTGTGGTTCGGGTACTCACCCAGGAAGTAAGAAACCCAGGCTCTAGCTGGCAAGATCAGCAGCACCCAGAGACCTGGCTTTCAAGCTAAGTGCCTTGACCAACCTGCAGAGCCAAATTTTGCATTTTAGATGTTTCCCTTATACGATGAGTAGTGTCTTGGTATAGTTTATCTTTGGAAATCTGAATGCATTTCGCAGCAGGGTTTGATACAAGCCCTATTAGATTTCTTGTTCTGCTGGAGAAATAGAAACTCTGTTCTTTCCCCTTAAAAAAGGGCCTGAAAATTTCAGCCTACTATCTTTTTATTTTCATTGTGCTTCTAAATTTATCCTCAGTTTTTGTTTCCTAAAACACCAGTTTACAGTCTAGATTGCTGAATTGTTTTTGTATTCTTAATTTCTTTTTGACCACACTTTAAAGCAGTGGTGACCCATTTGCTTTTTATTTTGGATGAAATCCTGGTATTCTAACTTTATTTTAAATGCTATTATTTTAAATCTGCCATACCACAGGTCAAGCACTATCCATGGTTTTCTAGGGTAGCAGCCATCTCACTGAACTACACACCCT